AAAGTCTACGGTTGCGTTGTGCTGCATTTCACTGCATTTACATGTATCACGGTTGTCATTTCGGCAGCAAATGAATTTTGGTTGCATTCATGGTATAAAAAGCTGGAGTTGATCCAATACAGACCACAATGCAACAGAAATGCACTGTGCTGTACTTTGTTACATTTTTACCTTGGTTTTCATTCCCACTGTGATTGATTTCTGTCGGCAGGACACCTGCTGAAAAACCTGATGGTGTTAGGGACCACAAACTTAGGAAATTCTGATGTCTTACTGACTAATAGCAAATTTTGTGAACGTTGTAATATTGGACCTGAAAGCACATCAAGGCCCTGCCATTCTTTGAGTGTGGGTGATTCTACAGATTTCATCATATCCAGAACTCTGCATACATACAAATATGTGTACCTTCAGATTGCGTGAAAAGTCTTCATGGCTCTCTGAGATTAGGAAGTCTTCCCCACACATCTCCTTGGGTATACTTAAAGTTCTGACCATTCCCTGGGTCAAGGTCAGCCCAAGGAACCTCAGCCTCGTCCGCTGCTGAACAAAGCATCGCAGTGCCGCGTCCTGGACATTGTCCCGGCCTGAGATGTCCAGCGAGGTTAGGTGAGGCAAAGATTGGTGGGCCTCCAGCAGGGTGTTGACGCTGGGGTGTTGGTGATTGTCCATCATGGGGTGCACGTCCTGGGATATGTCCAAGTGTCGTAGCTCTTCCAGCGACAGCACCACCGAAATCAGGTCCTTCTCTGGCACCCTGGTGTGGAACATACAGAGGGACTTGAGGGTGCGTTTGAGTCTGAGTAAAGGCTGGATGCTATAGACGAGCGTCCCTGAGATGTCTAAACTCTCCAAGTGTGAGAGCCCCTCAGCCACACACTCCAGACCAAGGTTGTTGCCAAATTCTGTGTAGCTGACGTTCAGGTGGCGTAGATTACGCAGCTGGGGCAAGGAGATGACGATGCAAAACTTGGAGTTGTTGAGGAAGGTACAGCCGCTGACGTTGAGCCAGCGGATGTGCTTGCGTGTCCACTCCCCTAGCGCCCCAATGATGTCGTTGACGTTGACATTCTGCACGCCCGCCGCATCCAGCTCCAGCAGCTGGTGGCCGGCCAGTGCCCGCAGGCCCCGCGATGTCAGGCTGGCCTTCTTGATGCAGGCGCGACGCAGGCACATGATGCACCGGTTGGCAAACAGCGTCAGGGCCGTGTCTGTCAGTTGGCCGTTCTCACTCAGTTTGCACAGTAAGCTCTCAGCCAAGTCACCGTGTATGACCGTGTCTGGGTTCTTGAAGACGAGCCTAGACTCGGTGTGGTCTCCCTCTCCAGTCACAAGTATTTCACTACACAATTTGGACATGTTACAGCTGATGTACTGCAGACATATTGTCTGTAGGGTTTCTGGAGAGGCAGTGCCCATCTTGCCACTGAAAGTTTTGCCTTAAAACAAACAATGAAAAGATGATTAAATTTACCTCACAATGCAGCAGTAAGTCTATGCTCTCATCAATGGTGACACATATAGCTTTCCCTAAAGTTTTTCTGCAGTTTTGTGACAAAACTCTTTCCGATTCAGATATTTCAAAGAAAAAAATTTCTATCACTTCTACCTTCTAAGGCCACCAAATATATGACCCAAATGATTCCCCCATCCCAAAATCCAAAATTTAAAAACAAAACCCAAATAGTAACAAAATCGAAGTTTTCTTGAACTGACAAGACATTACAAACAACTTCATCTAGGCACACAAAAAGGACTAGATGTAACTTACATGTATTACCTAAGATTCGTAAGTACCAAAGATGAGCTCGTCCAGAGTTGGAAAGCACCATAATCAAATGACACACCAGGCACAAAGTGACAAAGCCCTCACACAAAAGCGTCGGTAGCTAAAAGTTTATGCATAAACAAATACATGTAGCTGTACATGTATACGTGTGTGCCTTCCTGTACATCGTACATGCAAATCCTCCAATGAACTTGATTTCAGGTTCCACCTGCTGTTGGCTCAGTTTGCAGACGAGGTAATTACACACAGCAAATACAGTTTGCAGACAGATTTACGTACAGATAAGTAGAGATGAAACATTGGTGGTTCATGTACGTGTACATCAGAATTTGTTCTGGACACAACGCTGAAATTACCACATTGTGTACAGTGCTGTTCAAATCTCTTTTATCTGAAAATTTATACAGGACTATACCAGGGTCAAATCCTAAAACATCCCTGTGTCGCTTGTTGCCATTTCCTCCTCGCAATCCATCCACAGGAAATATCAGCATTCGTACATGAATGAATACAGGAACACGGCAAGGCTGGTGGAAAAGTGCATGCAACCTACCCAGGATGGCAATGTTTTGGGTAATGCCTGTTAGGCTGTACGTATCTGAGCCTCTGCTCGGACCCAAGGACAGTGGACAGGAATAGCACTAACCAGTTCTGAGTTTCTTGTGGGACACAGCAATGTCCAAACGAAGTTATTGGTCATTCAGGGAGTTGCCACTACATGTACACGATCATATACGTGTACGTGTTCACACATTAATACACCTACAACAGATCAACCGATGAAGAAAAGATTAATTTAATGGCACACCAAAAGTAAAAAAAAATAACCTTGTCTTCCTTTTTCCTTTATCACTGATCATGCTGATTCTGAACAGGCTCACACCAAGAAATGTTGCAATCACAACACCCTTTGAACAACAGTTTTGTTTATTGCTATGATCCTCACCAAAGGTTGTTCCTTGTTTACAGTTTAAATCACACTGAGGAAAATAAACAAAATTGACAGGAAAATGGAGCTCCCATTCATGACAGGCACTGTATTAAACAAGAAAACCTAAAAATCCATTTTCAGTTTTGATTTTTATTCACATCATTCAAACAAAGCATACCCTACTGGCAAAAATAAGCTTAAAATATTGTCATATGAGTTGTGAAAAAATACATTTGGTTCCTATTCCTAAAGTGGTCTTGTTGATTCAATCAAAAGGTAGGAAGTCAAACTTTGGTAGTATTCTGTCGGCTGAACGGATAATTTTCACTGCAAAGAAAGAGTAATCTGACATACAAAATGAAACTAACAACGATCAGAAGACAATTCCCTCTTCAAACTGAAACGTACATGTATGTACGGTGTACATGTACTGAATGTCGATAAGAAGGTTAAGGAGTGTGGAGGATGTACGGACAGGTACATGTATGGTAACATCGTCAAGTAGCACGAGAGTGTACATGAACACCAATCTG